AGGTCAACTAGCGTAGCACGTAGCATGTCATGCCACTCACGGGGCACCTGTCGCAGGCCGTAGGCTGGGCGCCGAAGGAGCCACTGGGTCCCAATAGGGAAGGTACCAGTAAAGCCCTGAGGACGGCGCATGTAGACCTGCTCATGTAGGTTGCCATGAAGAAACGCAGTGGAGAAGTCGAGGGCGTGTAACTCGTAGTCACGCTGTGCTGCTATGTGTAGCAGTGCCCAAAGAGTAGTCATCTTCGGGGTCAGGACGAAGGTGTGAAATAAATCCACCCCCTTACGCTGACTGAAGCCTCTAGCGACGTAGCGCGACTTGAACACAGGCGGCTCTTCAGGGGGGCGCTTCACCATGAAGAGCAACCGGCCATCCATTATGTTCACCCCCAGTGGGGGAAAGGCGTCGACGTAGGTGCCGGAGGATCTCCAAGATGCCATCTCCTGCTCCATGGCAGCTATCCATTGCGAGGCCCAGGGTCCCGAGTTTGCCTCAGTGTAAGTGCGAGGGATCGGGATGTCAAAGGCGTCTGGGTCACCCTAAGGGACTAGCAGCATGGGACAGAGATGGGGAGCAACCTCAGATTGGAAAGCAAGCTCGTTCTGTCGGTCCTCTAGGACATCACTGCCAAGGGGAAATGCATCCCCAACGGACGGAGGACAGACAGGGTCAGATACCAGACCAGTGGCGTAGTCAAGGCGGCGGGTAGAGGCAAAGTCAGAGACAGCAGCGACAAGAGCGTCAAGACTGCCGACAGGAACAGACAGGTCGGTAACGAGGAAGGCAAGGATACGAGGAACAAGAGGACAAACAGCACGAAGGTAGTCAGACAGAGGGGGAGGCGCAACAGCGAGCGATGACAGTGGAGGCGAAGGCAGAAGGGGAGGACGAGACGCGTGGGAACGAAGCAACATAGGGTGAGAACGCTGAACAGGAGAGACAGGACGAGCACGAGAGGGACGGCTAGACCACACGTGAGACGGAGGCGTCAGGTCAGGAGACAGAGGAGGAGTCACGGGAGGGGAACGAGGGGGGAGTCTCCCCCAGAGTCCAGGAACGGCTGCTGCTGCGGCAGCGGCGGCGGCTGCTGCGCTGGCGGCGGCTGCTGCTGCGGCGGCGGAGGAAGAGACACAGGGGGAGAGGCAGGCGGCGAGAGCGGCGGCGCAGGGCCACCAGAGGTCAGCCGACTCCTTGACCAGGACAACCGACGGGAGGGGAGTGACGTGAGACACACCAGAGGGAGCAGGACAGGGAGGCAAGGGAGCAAGGGCTACCGGGAGAGTGGGAATCAGAAACAGGGGAGGGGAAACCGGGAGACCTCGGTGGGGAAAGTGGTGGTAAAAGGAGACAGACTCGTCGAAAGTAGCGTCACGAGAGTGAAAGAAGCGGTGAGACGGCGGGTGGTAAAAGTGCCAGTTAGACGAGTCAAGGGGGAAACCGAGGAAGACACAGGGGACAGTGCAGGCAGTGAGCTTGTCCGTGCCAGAGGCACGAACGTGAGCAAGGCCCAGACGTGGAACGCGGACACGTCACCAAGGAACCCGGTCCAAAGAAGGGTCGGCGAAACCTGTGGCCGCTGGGAGCGCCGCCAGAGGTTAAGCTGGTGAGCGTCGTAGCAAACGGCGAATGGCCACAGAAAATGGGGTGCACCGACATGAATCATGGAGGTATGGGCCACCTCCTTGACCAAACCGATGCATCACTCAACGACCCCATTCTGCTAGGGGGAGTCTGGTAGAGTGTACGACTGGGTGATGCCCTCCGCACGACACGGTCGGAGTGGAGACACAGCATAGGGAGACTGCGGTGGAGGCGTGCAGCTACGACCCACGGGATAAGAATGTCAGGCACATCGGCCTTCCGCTCCAGGGGAAACACCGTGGTGTAGCGCGTGAAGTCGTCGACGAGCACGAGAAAGTAGGGCTTGCAACGCAGTCGAAGGACGGGGGCTGGGCCCCAGACGTCCAATTGCAGGTCTAGAGGGGTGCAGTGGCAGGGCGAAGAGAGGAGTGAGGAGTACGGCGTAGCCAACCCTCGACGCAGGGCGTGCATGGCGGCGCAGGCGAGGGAGGGAGGGCAGGAAGCGACGAAGGGAGACCTAGGACGAGACCGTGCTGAGACATGTGACGCAGACACGGGAGTGCGGGTTGACCTAGGCGGTGGTGCCACAAAAGCGACGGGTGAGTGAGCGACCGACACGAGCAGGCCGCAGCAACATTGGTAGACGTAGGACCCGGGGAGGACGCGCCCACCAGGGAGGAAGCAGTGTCCAGCGTAAACAGGCCAGACACCGGGTCCCGGAGGAACGTCGCATGGGGGGCACATGAGGCGGTCTCGGTACAGACAGCATACCGCTCGTGACCAGGGAACATGTGGTAACACCGAGGTCCTGAAGACAGCCAACACCAACTAAGTTCCTGGAGAACGAAGGGATGTGCAGGCCTATAAGGGAACCCGAGGGGACTGCCAGCCAGGGAAGGGTAGTGTAGCTACGAGCAACGACAAGACCAGAAGAGGGGTCAGCAAGTGCGACAGCGGCAGGCGCGGCAAGCGGCGTAAGGGTGGCGTGGTCGCGGAAGAAGCAGGCTGACGCACCAGAGTCAAGTGTGAAGCGGTAGTGGCAGATGAAGGAGGAGCGAGTGTAGAGCCTAGGCTAGACAAAGCAAACGGTCCTACGCCTAACGCAGCAGGAGAGTCTGGACTATACATATGTGCTATCCCTAAGCTAGAGAACACAGGGTAATAAGATATGGACACACTAGAAGCGTCAGCATACAGAGAATGCAGGGCAGAACTAATATGACCCATGTCTAAGTCAAAAACAGGCACACCATAGCGCAGCAGACTGGGCCAGTCAGGGAGGTCCAGGGCCGGGCCGAAGCGGCGACGGAAGAGGTCGTCGAGGTGGCAGAAGCAACGAGCGATCGGGTGCGGGCGGCGCCACACTGTGCCACGGTGGGGCCTGGTCTGGAGCTGGTACTAGCAGCCCACAGCACCGAAACCGCCGGTAGGCGCCGAGCTGCGAGGACCGCCACCTTGGCCACCACCTCCAGGGGCTCCTAGCCACCCCGCCGGGGAGGCGGACCCACGGCTGTTGATGCTGCTGCGGCTGCGGCTGCTGCTGCGACTGCTGCTGCTGTGGCTACTGCTGCTCCTGGACACCTGCCCCAGCCCCTCGTCAGAACCACTGTCTCCACCCGCACCATCTCCACCACCAGCACCACCACCACGCCCTCCCTTGTGGCCGCGGTGGCCCCGACGCTGTCGCTGCTGCTGCGGGAAGGCCACCGCTGCGGTGTCAGTGGCAGGAGCAGCTGTAGCGATGGCGGCGGAAACGTCAGCGTACGTGCTCTGGGAGGAGCACAGCCCTGAAAGATAGGGACCGCCGCAACACCCCTCGACTGAGCGATAGTGCGCTGGCGAGTCTCTATCTCAGAAAGGGCAGTGACAAAGGCGGTTAGGGTGAGGTCACCAGGGTGCTGGCTAAGGAAGTGGTCACGGGTAGTGGCTAAGCGGTCAAGCAAGCGCATGACAATAAGGTACAGGGTAGTACAGAATGGTGGGGGGAAGGCAGTGAGCTGGGCGGCAGTGCTAGGGCCCCGTTAGCTAGTCTCTAGTGCACGGAGGTGAGTAGCGAGGTCAGCAACAGTGGGGAAGGCGGAAAGATCGGGGAATAGCATGGGGAGGATCAAGCGGCCATCGGAGGTGGAGGCGGGTGTGGAGTAGCACGCAACTACGGCATCTAGAGAGTCCTTGGCGTTCGCGACGGCAGTGAAGCGCGGACGCTCAGACAGGGGAAGTGCATGACTAATGGCGAGCTGCGCTACAGCATCGCGAGAATCCCAGACAGCACGAGCGAGCGCAGCAGCAGCAAAGGCCTCACTCTCAGCAGTGGTGGGGTCAGCAGGGAGGGGATAAGGCGCCGGGGGGCGGGGAAGCAAGCCATCAACATGCATAGCCAGGGAGTGCCTTTCCTGGCGCTGACCTGTCAGGTGTCGGCGAAGATCGACAAGCCAGGCGGCGAAGTCGATCGCGTGCCCTTCCGCGTCCAAACGTAGCATGGCGTCCGCCATCGCGCAACCTCAGCGGCACCAGGACACAGCGGCACAGCGGCAGAGGGACATAGGTACTCAACTGCTGGGCGATACAGCGACGTGGCGGTAGGACTCTCCGGAGCGGAGACCGGGCGGAAGGCTGAGGAGGGCGCAAGTGGGCCGGTGGGCGCGTGAGGAGTTAGCGGACGCGCAAGGGGCCGAGGCGTACGAGGGGCCGGGCAAGCGTGTGAGAGGCCGAGCAGGTGCGGGAAGGACCGTCGCGTAGAGAGGAGCCGGCAAGGCGCGTGGGGCCGGCGGTGCGCAGGAGGGGCTGTCTAGGCGGTAGGGGCCGGATGGGTGAGAGGGGTCGGCTAGGCGAGAGGGGCCGGCTAGGCGCGAGGGGCCGGCTGGGCGCGAAGGGGCCGACTAGGCGCTAGGGGCCGGCTATGGCGCGAGAGGGGCCGGCTAAGCGCGAGGGGCCGGCTAGGTGCGAGGGGCCGGCTGCGGCGCGAGAGGGGCCGGCTAAGCGCGAGGGACCGGCTAAGCGCAAGGGGCCGACGACGGCCCGTGGGGTCGGCTACGGCGCGAGAGGGGGCCGGCTAGGCGCGAGGGGCCGACTATGGCGCGAGGGGCCGGCAACGGCGCGATAGGGGCCGGCTGGGTGCGAAGGGGGGGGGCGGGGGGGGGGGGGGGGAGGGGGGGGGGGGGGGGGGGAAGCTAGGCGCGAGGGGCCGGCTACGGCACGAGAGGGGCCGGCTGGGCGTGAAGGGGCCGGCTAGGCGCGAGGGGCCGACTAGGCACGAGAGGGGCCGGCTAGGCCGCGTAGGGAACAACAGGCGCGCTTGTGGGGGGAGAGGGGGGGGGGGGGGGGGGCGTGCGGCGGACGCACTAGGGCGCGGGGCGGAAGCGGATGGGTGGACCTAACCTACTCAAGATACCATGTTAAAATACTAGAATGAATAGAAAGGAGAGAACATGGAGATGTAGGGTTTGGGTTGTACTCTCTAAGAACACCCACCTATTCTAGCCTATAACTTCTTCATGCAAATGTATGTATAAGTTGACACAAGCTCGCTGGCGTCCCTCAGCACCTCATAAGCCTCCGCAGTGTCCTTAAAATGTTGCTCCACCACCTTTCTCTTCCTCTCATAAGCTCCTCGTGAGAGTGTCTAAAAATTCGCCTAAGTTTTCATCACATCCCACTGCCGTTTGCATCACAACCCACGACCATCATACGCAGCACACTTTTGCATCCTCAGCATCTCATAGACCTCCAAAAACTTTTTGCACCAATTCTCTACGCTACTCTTCCTCTCGTCAGGCTCCCTGTGAGATTGATTCCTCCAAGCGGCCTACCACCGTGCATTACCCATCCACTATCATGCGCCAAACGCTTGTTCGCGTCCCTCCGCACTTCATCAGCCTCCGCGATCCGATTGAATCGCTGCTCCACCGCCTTCCTCTTTCCCTCATCAGGCACTCTGTCAGGGTGCGCCTACTGCCCTTGCATCACTAGTTCAAACCCCACCACTATCATACGCAGCGCGCTTCTTTGCGTCCCTCAGCACTTCGTAGGCCTCGGCAATCTTCTTAAACCGTTGCTCAGCCACTTTTCTTTTTCTCTCGTCAGGCTCCCTGTCAGGGTGTGTCTCCATCGCCAGCTGGCGGAACGCAGATTTGATCTCCTGCTGACTCGCCTGCCGCCCTTTGCTCCCCAGCCCCAGAGCAGCGTAGTAGCCCTTGGGGTCTGAACTCGTCCGTCCTCCTGACCTTTTCTGCCACTGCTCCTGCTGCTGCTGCTCCTTTCGCCCGTACTGCTGTTGCCACTGCTGCTCCCATTGCTGCTGCCATTGCTGTTGTCTCCTATCGTGTTGCTGCTGGTGGTGCTGCTGCTGCTGCTCTTTTTGCTGCTGGGTGCGCTGGTAACCGCTGCTAGGCCCTCTGCTGCCGAAGCCACCGCCAGCCCAGGAGGAAGTGCCTCCCCGAGCCATGCGCTCGAACTCCCTCCACACGTCCTCCGGACTCACAAAGGCTCGGCGGAAGACTCTGAAGTCGCCGAACCTGGAGAGCAGGTTGGGGAACGCGTGGGAGTGGACAGGAGAAAAGGTGGTGCGGAAGGGGGTGGGGTTTGGGTGTTGGTGTGGGGCGCATAGGGCAGAGATGACAAATTGGAGGGTTCGAGATGGCAAGATGACCGGAGGAGTCAAGAGTGGTAGCATGGCAGAGGAAATAGGAAGCAATGAGAAGAGTGGGGGAGGGGAGAGGGTGCTTGGGGACGGGGGCATGAGGCAACATAAGGTCCAGGGTTGTGGGCTGCCTTCGGTGTTGGCACAGAAGAAAGAGAGGCACAATGTTCACATGCTGCCGCGCATGCTGCCACGCATGCTGCCACGCATGCTACCACGCATGCTGTCACGCATGCTGCCACGCATGCTGCCAAGCATGCCTTCACGCATGCTGCCACGCAAGCTGCCGCGCATGCTGCCAAGCATGCTGCCACGCATGCTGCCAAGCATGCTGCCACGCATGCTGCCACGCATGCTGCCACGCATGCTGCCAAGCATGCTGCCACGCATGCTGCCACGCATGCTGCCACGCATGCTGCCACGCATGCTGCCACGCATGCTGCCACGCATGCTGCCAAGCATGCTGCCACGCATGCTGCCACGCATGCTGCTAAGCATGCTGCCACGCATGCTGCCACGCATGCTGCCAAGCATGCTGCCACGCATGCTGCCACGCATGCTGTTACGCATGCTGCCACGCATGCTGCCATGCATGCTGCCAAGCATGCTGCCACGCATGCTGCCACGCATGCTGCCACGCATGCAGTCACACATGTTGTCACACATGCAGTCACGCATGCTGTCACGCATGCTGTCACGCATGCAGTCACACATGCTGTCACACACACATGCAGTCACGCATGCTGTCACGCATGCTGTCACGCATGCAGTCACACATGCTGTCACACATGCAGTCACACATACTGTCACACATGCTGTCACACATGCAGTCACACATGCTGTCAGGTACAAGATCTCCAATGTGTGCGTCCACACATGCTGTCATGGCTGTTGCGGTTGGTGGAAGCATGCGCTTTAGAGCTTGCTTTCGTTCCTTTCTCTAACCAAAGCACACAGTATGGCACGGCCACCACTTACACTCGATTTGATCGCCTTTCAAAGCAGCACTATCCAGCATGCACGATGACGCTACCCGTGCGACCATTTGAGAAAACTATTTTTGAGGCACCTAAAAAACGTTGGACCACAACGTTAACCACCACTCACCCCATTCCATACACGAAACAACCCGTGCGACCGTTTGAGAAACTGCCCTCCACAGAGTCAGCCACATCTTACGCAAGCCTTGACCAGACCGAGTGAACCCCGAAACGTACCCTGCGAATCGGTCAAAAGGGTTCCCCGGCCCTTCACCTCCCGCGGCCCTTCCTTCCCTTCTTTCTCCCCACCCTGCCCCGCCAAACTCCCCCTCTTCCTCCTCCTCCTCCTCCCCTCCCCCTCCTCCCCCCCACAGTCCGCCCCCCGTTGCCACCTCAGCCACTTCCCTCGCATGCTGCACTCCCCGTTGGATCAAAGCTAGCCGCGGGGACATCCTGACCAGCCATCCGGCAGCCAATGAGAGCGCGCCAACTGTCATCCACCAAGCGGAGGATGCGGGGTGGAAAAGCCAAGGCAAGCCACCCGCCCCCAGGAGAACGAAGTCCAATAGCGCGGTGCCAGCTGTCAGTGCGGCGGCTGCTGCCAGCGTGGATTTTGGCTGGGAGTAGAGGCGGTCCGCGGCGACAGCTGGCGCGGCGGATGGTGCTGACGTGGCAGAGATGACAGCCGTGTGTCGCCAGCTGTCGTGATAGTAGGATGCCACGTAGGACGGCAGAAAGATGGGCTGCTCTGCTTGACAACGGGTGGCAGCAGAGCCAATGGGAGAGTGACATGTGGACAGGTGAATAGGCGAGTTCAAAGGGGATGGAGGGAGTGGGGAGAAGGAGTGGAAGGAGGATGAACTCAGGGGGAGGAGAGGTGGGGGGCGCCGAGGGGCGGAGGAGGAGGGTATGGCAAACTTGTGAAAGAAGTGATGTGGACAGAAGACGAACGAGAGGAATGAGAGGAATGAGAGAAATGAGAGGAATGAGAGGAATGAGAGAAATGAGAGAAATGGGAGAAATGGGAGAAATGAGAGGAATGAGAGAAATGAGAGGAATGAGAGGAATGAGAAAAATGAGAGGAATGAGAGAAATGAGAGGAATGCGCGAAGCGATTCTCTTTCTAATGCGAGGGGATGATGACGCGTGATAGCGAGGCTAGGACAGTTAAATGCTGTGATGGTGCAAGGCGAGTGAGTGGGTGCTTGAGTGAGTGAGAAAGCGGGTTCGCGAGCGAGCAAGGGGAGAGAGAGCAGGGAAGAGAGAGCAGGGGTAAGCGAGCAGGGGAGAGAGGGCAGGGGAAGAGAGCACCTTTGCAGTCACGGAGTGAACAGTTAGGTGAATTTCCAGGTCGGTTACCCGCTCTGCCTCAAAGCGCTGGGGCATGAAGGGAGGAGTGGGAAGTGAAGGGAGGAGTGGGGAGTGAAGGGGGGAGTGGGAAGTGGGAGGAGAGGGAAGTGGGAGGAGAGGGGAGTGAAGGGAGGAGGAAAGAACAAAGAGAACAATGAGGTCAACGTCCAGGTCCAATACTCGCTCTGCCTCAAAGCGAAGGGAGAGGCGTTTAAGCGGGAAAGGTGGGGTGCGGGTGTAGGGTGGAGTGGGAGTGAGAACAGGAATGAGTGGAAATGCAGGAGAGCACGAGAAGATGCGACAGCTTGTGGATGTGCGTACGAGGATGAGAAGATCCACAAAGGGCCGAACCCAGACCTCAGTTTAGCCAAAGGGATGATGTGGATGTTGAGCCGCAATGTGATAGGGTAGGTGCACTTTGAGCCAACTTTTGAGTCGACTCAAAAGAAGATCGGACATGTGCATTTTGAGCCAACTCAAAAGTACCCAGTTCAGCCAAAGGGGAGATTGAGAGCGGCAGTGTGACAACAGAGATTGATAAGGGAATGTGGTAGAGCTATGCCATGAGAAGCAGCTGGTGAATATACCTGGTATTTAAAAGGCATAGCATGGCATGGCATGGCATAGCAGGTACGGCATGGTGTGGCATGGTGCAGCAAGGTGCGGCATGATATCGCATGGCGTGACAGCATACCCATTTGAGGTGATTGGTGAGCTCTGTCTCGAGATGCTTGATCCATCGCTGCTTCACCACCGCCCATGCTCGCTCCCTGCGAACCAGAAGAGTCATGCACCGAGTTTACTACGAATACACAAACACATCATGTGTTTAATAGAAGAAAACCGTAAAATCCATGGCATGCCAACTAAGCACCATGCCAGTTAAGCGCATGCCACGCCAGCTAAGCGCATGTCATGCCACCAGCAAAGTGCATGCCACGTCATCTGCCCACCTGGAAATGGTGAAGAGCTCCAGCTGTCTGCCAGGTGTCAGCATGCGATCGATCAGCGGCACGGCCTGCTTGATAGAGTCGCCAGCTAGCACCTGAGCCAAGCTGCGAGGGAGGCTGGAAAAGGGGAGGTAAATGGGGCCGGAGGAGGGGGAACGGGGGGAGGGAAGGAGGGGAGCATGGTAGAAAGGTGTTGATTGATAGAGTAGCCAGCTAGCACCTGAGCCAGGCTGCGGGGAGCAGGCTGGCAGGAGGAGAAGTAGAAGGGGAGGGCCGGGGCGTGGGGGGGCGAGGGAGAAAAGGGGAGGGGAGCTTGGTGGGAAAGGCGATGCTTGAGCCAAGGTGCGTGGAAGGTTGGACTGAGAAGCAGCAAGGACGGAGGGGGAGAGAGGGGAGGACAAATAGACTATTGAGTTGCCTTTTCTCAAAGGGTATCAGACGGGGGGAGGGGAGAGAGGGAGAGAGGGAGAGAGGGAGAGAGGGGGAGAGGGATAGAGGGAGAGAGGGAGAGAGGGAGAGAGGGAGAGAGGGATAGGGGGATAGAGGGATAGAGGGAGAGAGGGAGAGAGGGAGAGAGGAAGAGAGAGAGGGAGAGAGGGAGAGAGGGATAGAGGGAGAGAGGGAGAGAGGGAGATATGGAGAGAGGGAGAGAGGGAGAGGGAGAGAGGGAGAGAGGGAGAGAGGGAGAGAGGGAGAGAGGGAGAGAGGGAGAGAGGGAGAGAGGGAGAGGGAGAGGGAGAGGTTCCTCTGCTCCTTAGTATTTAGAGCTCTCTTCCTACTCATTTCCCTGTTTTAGTTTGAGTTCTTCCTTTCTCCTTCCCTTGGTGGCAGCTCGCGCCGGCGGCCTTCGGCCACCGACGCTCAAACGCGGCCTGCGGCCGCGCTTTAGGGGACAGCAAGGATTCAACAAACACACGCTGACAACAAGAAACATGCATCAACAACGCCTACACCACATGCCGAGCGCACACTCTAAAAGACTACGTATGCCTGCGGCATGGAGAGTCTTGTCCGCCTTACGGAAGGGCTCTCGCTGGTGGGAACGTCCCCCACGCTCACATACGCGCGGAGGGAGCCTGTCATGCGAGTTGGTCCGCTCCCGCTTCCTCCAGCAGCGCTGTCACATAGCCCACCAGGAGCTGCAGCGCTGACACGGTGGCGCCAACGATGTCTACAGCTCCAGCCGAGTCTATGCTCGCCGATACCGCACGCATCACGACGAGCAGCTGGGGGTCCAGTACTGTTCCCGGGGAGGGCGCAGGCTGCACACGCGTCGACACAACGGCGAGATCAGCTGCTGCCATCGCGCAGCCGTGAAGAGGGTCATGGGGCATCCTGCACGGGCTCGCTAAGTTCCGTAACACGGAATGCGAGTCCGTCAGCATCCCCACAGCGATCCCCATCGCCCACCGCGCGTGCCAGAGCCGACGAAGCATGGCGGTTGGGATCGCTGTCTCCGCGAGACGCTCCTGCTCTTGCAGCCTCTCCAACTGCACCCTCGGTGGCATCCGCATTCCGCCCGAGCGGTGCTGATCGGAGCCCTCATGTGGCGAGCCCTCCCCCGAGGACTCCGCCCCCCCAATCTCTGCTGCTTCTGCCCCCCCCTCAACTCCAGTCGGCAACGCTACCGCCCACCATGGGGGGACAAACGATGCCGCCACCCGCGCTCCAAAGGACAGCAGGGCCGTCGGCTGCTTCTGGCCTTTGGGCCAGCCCACCGCCGATGCCTCCAGCAGAGGCGGCTGCTGCCAGCTCGGCAGTGTCCCCGCAGATAGCGGAGACATCGGCGCCGCCACCGGAAGCATCGGGTAGTGCAGGACGGGCGGCTGCTGCGGCGGGTACTGAGGGACTGAGGGAGGCGGCGGCTGGGGGAGCTGCTGGTAGGATGGAGGCTGTTGCGTCGCGGACACGTGCGGCGGCAGAGGTTGAAGCGGCATCTGAGGCGGGACGAGCGGCGATGGGTGCATCTGCGCCGACGGATACAGCTGGGGGGGATACGCGGGGTGAGCCTGCTGCGGGGCTACTGAGCGGAATAGGCTCTCCAGCGTCGCGGCAGCGCGGCCAAGCCGCCTCTCCGCGGCTGAGCTCCGCCCATTCCCTCCGCCAGCCCTCCACCCGCGGCGCTGGCCGGACTGCCCACGCTGCCCTTGCGGCGTCCGGTGCTGCTGATGGGGCGGCGCCTGAGCGGCGCGCTGGGGCGTCTCGCGGCGCGGCGGCATCAGCGGCTGCAGCTGCTGCAGCGGCTGCTGCGGTGCCGCACTCTGCCGGCCTTGCATCGCACTCTCAGGGGACTTCTGCTCGCGCCGCTGTGGTGTCGAGCGGCGGCTTCCAGACCGCCCGGGCATGCGCTCCAGGGTCTGCTGGCGGCTCCTCGATGAGACAGGGAGCCCGCGCTCCCAATCATGGTTCAACTGAGGCGGGGGGCTCTGCCGATCTCGGCGGAGGACACTCTCCCCGGTGCTCTCAAGATCGTAGGAACGCTCGCAGCGGGGACGCTCCTGCTCCTCGTGAGGGGGATCCATCGCGAGGCCACGCGCCACCTGCTGCCTCCCCTGCGCCACAGAATGGACGGCGCACGTCGGCTGTGGGAACGCAGGGACGCGATGAAGGTGGCGGAAGCGGCACACGGAGCAGGCGAGGGCGCAGAAGAGGACAAGTTCAGCAGGCGACCTGTCCCGCAATGGCGGCCCGCTGAATGGTTACCAAAACGCAGCTAATCGGGCTTTAAGACGGGAGGAAAGGCGAGAAACTACTGAGGAAGAGGAACGGAGGGACTCTACTTATGTGCAGCCACAGCACTCGGAGTCGAGCACTGGGGATTCGAGGTCAGCGGGCGAGGATAGACTGGGAGCTGGAAGAAGGGCCTGAGCCGCATCTAGAAATTTGGGCCGTGAAGGGGGGAACCCTCAGACCCGTGATTAAGGGGGCCCGCTGCCAGTAGCCAGCCAACCACGTCGCCAACTTTCGCCAGCAGAGCTGGCCGCTGACGTTTCCCGCTTCACAAATATCGCTGGTTGGGATATTTCGAAACTCAGCGATTGTCGTCAGCAGCCAATCTCCCGCAAACTCCCAACCCCCCTTCGCCCGCTATTCGCCCTCGCCGTCCTGACACCCTTGCTCCACCTATCGAAAAACCCAGAGTCGGTGCCAGAGTGGATTCTGTTACTTTTCGTCCCGCGACTGATCCTTCGCTTGGCGTCGCCCAAGCGTACCGATTGGAAATTGGTGGAGGATTGCCTGCAACGATTCCTGGCAGGCGAATGGGAGCACCTGTACCTGGAAAGCATTGCTGCGATTCACTCGCCAGCACCGCCACGTCACGTTCGCGACAAAATCGGTACCATCGCCAGGGCGGACTAACTCGCTCGACGTGGTAGCCTGCGACGTGGGTCCTCGCCCTGGAGTCAACCCCAATCAGCGAGCCCTCAAGCGAGGTGTTGATCGCGCTTAAATCAAAGCATCCAGCCACGCTACACGAGCAGCTGGATTGGCCCGCTAATACAGCACCTATATTAAAAATTCGAAAAGTGGACTTCATGAAACTATTGTCCACTTATGAGAATGGCGTGGGAGCAGGCCCCTCAGGGACCTGCTTTGAGCACCTTCGTGATGCAGCATTGACAGATGCCGACGTCGCGACTCACCTCCACGCTCTCGTCAACACCGTCCTGGGCGGCTGCCTGCCGGACGCTGTGGCGGCGCTCCTCACCGCCTCTCGCCTGCTAGCCTTCTCCAAACCGGACGGCGGTACGCGACCAATTGCGGTAGGGGAATGCTTGCTTCGGCTCGTGGCCAAAGCCGCACTCACCCTCCTAGCCGACGCGGTCCGCGAATTCTTCCTCCCGCTGCAGTTTGGCGTCGCCGTGCCAGAGGGAGGGGAGGCGATCGTCCACCTCGCCCTTGTTTTCCTAATGGCCTACCCCGAGGCTCTGGTCCTTCAAGTGGACATGGCCAACGCCTTCAACAGCGTTGACCGCGCCGCTATCATCCGCGCCCTCGTAAACACGCCCATCCACGGCCTCCTCCCGCTGCTACGCCTCTCATACGGTCGCCCGTCCCTTCTTCACCTAGACGCTGCCTTCGAGAGCCCGCCCCTCCATAGCGAGCACGGGGTGCGTCAAGGGGATCCTCTGGGCCCCCTGCTGTTTGCCGCGGGAATTCATCCCGCCCTCCAAGCCACGTTTGCCGCCTTCCCCTCGGTCCTCTGCATTGCCTACGCAAACCTGAAAATAGAGGACAAACCCAACGATGAGACATAGATAAACCCAATCACGTGATTGGCAGATTTCAAGCCCAAGGGACATGGATAAATATTAAAAGTGAAAATAGTAAGGCTACTTCATGTAGTGTTACGTTTCACTTGGTGTAGCCCCTTGTTGGGTTTGTTTCGAGTCTCCTCATGGTTGGTGTATTACTCATGCTCTCCCGTTGCCTCTCCCCATGGGTCTCCTACCTGATTCGCACCACCCCCCTCGAGTCCCTTCCTCTCGAGGAGTGGTCCCAGTGGGGCTGGGACCTGCTGCTCACCCTCCTAACAGCTTGCAACCTTCACCTCCCCCACGGCGAGGCTGAGAGCGCCGTGTCTCGGCACAAGCCTCGCTGCCAGCCTCCCTGGGGGGAGTGGGTCTGACAGACCCTGCGGTGAAAGGCCCCCACAGCTTCCTTACCCAGGCCAGCCAGCTCCTCGCGGCTATCTCCCCGACAGCCGCTTCCGCCCTCACCTCCTTGCTGGAGCCTATGCAGACGCCCTTCCAACAGGAAACCCCCCTCCAATCCTGGCTCTCCAGCTGCAAGAGCTCACTCCCCTCGGGAGCAAGAGAGAAGCTCGCGGCAGAGCGACTCTGCCCCTCAGGGAAGCCCCTTCAGCACACGCTCTCCCTCGCTGTACATGGCCAGCGCTTCGCCAACCAGCTCGCCGCCACCCGCGCCATGGACCCCCATCACCTCATGGGCCACACACAGCGCCTCCTCTCCCTGACGGGGTATGGGGCAGGGGATTGGCTTCACGCCATCCCCGTCATGCCCTCCCTCCGCCTGGGCGCCTCTCACTTCGCCATAGCCCTGGGGTTCCGCCTCGCGCTTACCTTCTCAACTCCAGGTGTATGCAACTGCTGAAA